AAAATACAGTTACATCCAAAGGTTTTTGTTTCATTAAACACAATTTTAATAATTTAACTCATAGCGTTCCGGGCTTCGGTGAAAATTGAATTTCTTTTCCAATACTTGAGCAATTTAAATCAGTAGAATGTAACGATCTCAATTTTCTCGCAATTTGAATTTTCAATAAATGTACTCATTTGGTTGTTCGATACAAAAGGAAGCGATTGTTAAATATTAATTATGCACAAAGGCTTAGTACAAATTACTCTTTTAAATTGCGGTTTTATGTGTACCTTTACGTAATGTAATTATACATAGTTAACATTTAAATCATTTATAGTTAGTATAGTTTACGAGTACTTGTTCAAAAATTAAGTCATCAGTAATGTTTGAACTTACAACCATTGCTAAATTAGAATTTCGTATTTTTCACAATGTTTTTGATCAATGAACTAGAAGTAATCTATACTATTATAATAAAGCGTAAACACACACTTCTTTGTTGCCTAAGATCTCAGCAATTATAGCATATTTTTGAAAAATTCTTTTTGTACTAAAAAGCCCTACACTTACGTCATGCTTTAGGCTATATATTTTAACGCCATTAAACTTAGGGTGTAAATATTTTGGATAAAAACCCTAATGTGGGAAAGAGACCATAAGTTGCTGCCAACATCAAGGTAATAAGATTACCAAGGTTTGTCATGTCATGTAATTTTGACATTTGCTGTTGATAATTTGACAAATGTCAGCCATGAAGTAAAATTTACGTAATTTCATGCGGATGACATCGCAGGGAAACAGCAAGTAATTTATAAATATCGCACTTCATCCGAATTAGAAAGTCTACAAAATTTGAAATAACAACTCTTGAAGTGTTGTCAAACACAAAAGATTTTCTTAGCAACAAATATTGATAGATCTTTGTTGTCAACCGTTAAAGGCGTTAAAATTCAATAGAAAGCACGCCATTCTATCCCGAATTTTGCCGGCTTTCTGCTTACGATATTGTGAAGGAGTGAGCCTCGCCGCCGCCACTATAAATACGTGACTGGCTTATGAGATTCCCTCTCTTGCTTGTTGAATATTGGCATTTCATGGTATGAAGATGCTTTAATGGCCTTTCTATAGACTTCAAGCTCTTTACAGTGTACTAAATGAGTGGGAGATTTAAAACTAAGAGGAATAAAACGCTAACTATTCTTTTTTTCATATACAAAATGAGTTTAAAATATTTTTTTGTTTAAAAAATAGGCTTAGTGCCAAAGTGGTTTTCGAAGTACTTATTGTATTTACCGCAGCGTATCCTATAAATACTTTAACTGACCAATATTAGGTTTTTGGGTTTCGGAAATAGATTGATGGTGCCGTCTGACAACGTCATTAGGTTCCGGGTAGCGGGCGGGCTGCGGGCAGGCAGCGGGCGGGCAACGACTGGGAGTTTTTCCCCACCGAGATAATTGGACCGAATGTTTTCGTCCGCTCAGTCTAATGACTAGCAGTTTTGTTTGCTAACGGGACATGCCGCCTTTTATTGAGCCGTTTGTGCTTAGCCCCTAAATATTTGCACACGACTGGTTTTTGTTGCTTTTAAATATTTTACTCCAAACGAAACGAAAACACTTAGCTTCCAAAGATTACTTTGAATATTATTTTAATTCGATGTATCTACTTCTATAGTATTGTACTATAATATGGTGTGCCGTACAAACGGGTTCGGGTCCCGCGGCACAACCTACCCTTGAACTACGATTGTACCGGAGAGCATAATATTGTAAACGTAAGGGGAAAATGGTACTCACCAGCTCGATAAATTGCCTCACCTCCTGCTGGTGCCCTGTCTCAGTCAGTGTTAATCGAGTCAAAGTCTGCCGAATTTAGCAACCCCGTTCGCTATCGAAATCGACACGCCTGTTGTGTCTTCGCGTTATACCAAGAGCAATTCTAATCCGCACAAGTGTTCACGACCGTCTTGCTTGGCTGCTCGATTCCGATCTTTTCTCACACCCCTCTCCGCAGGTCCCGCGCCCGTCCGTAGTGGAGAGGTTTTATTCATCTACCCGCCCGTGCGAGAAAAATAATATAGGCGCGCTTACCCGCACTAAACGCGAGGCGCGAAATTTAATTTATTTTCGCCACCGAATGTGGCGAAGCCGTACTATCTGCACATACTATATGGTATGCATTCAGATAAATATTTAATTAAAAGTGAGAATCTCAATAATTGCATAATACTATTACATCTGACATTGTTTTTGGAAATATATGGTTGATGTAAATATTTCGACTGGTTATCGATTTTCGTGTAGGTATTCAATCAAGTAAAGATATTTTATTATTTTATTTTATTATTTGTAAATCATACAAAACATTCCGTAGTTATGTTATTTCTTTTTACATAGATGTAATATAAATTTAGAACTGTTTTATTTTACTTATCCGGTCGACTAAATATAATTTTGTTAACATAAGCAATTACATCCAAATCTCGAATTAATTTTGATGTCATACTACTTGTGTGATTGAAAAATAAATGGAATCTTTTCTTGCTCCCTTTAACAAGAGTTACGAGTTAAGAATGACATAATAAATCCTTATGTCTAGTCGACAGCAAAGTTGAAGAAAGGCTTTTGATGGATTATTTTCCTACAAAGCCCAACCTCAACATGGATGCGAAAATAAAATTGGATTTTTATGAAAAAGCTGATAAGTATTTAAAAAAATCTACATTTTACATCTTTTTAGTGAATAGTAAAGGATATTTGGAAACTTTTTTCGTTTACACTATTTTTTAAATGTATCTATGAATCAAAAAGGAGTTACGTATGAATAGTTTCAGTTTCTTTAAAATATTCAGGCTATATGATATGCATAGTTCACATCTGAAATTACCATACTTATTTAATTTCTTATTCTTTAGTAAACCCTGGTCTACTTCTCATTATTCATAAGCACATACTGGTCACGTATTTCAACACATGGTATATTCTTCTCATTTTCAAAGTATCGAATAGTCAATAACATTATTATACTCAGGCGCATCTCCTTTGAAGTGATACTAGAAACTACGTGACCGTTTTCGTAATACTTACCAACTGTAAAAAAATGTCCGATCGCAAACTACGAACAAACCCTTCAAAGATAAAGAAAAAAGTTCTTATACGAATAAGTAACCTATTTTTTTTAGTGCTCTTCCAAGTATTTAAGGATTAATTTAGTCTTAAAAATGGTAGTAAATTTTTTAAAACTACTCATTTAATTGCAGTTTCTTAAAATTCACTCTTAATTCTCATGTTTTCTATAGATCAATGTAACTAACTATATGTTTTCTATACCTCGAACAGAAAAACAGACAAAACCTGCATTACCATGTTAATAATATAATAACTAGATAACGCAAAGAGTGCATATCTCTATATTTGTTTTTGTACTAACCAATATTTACTTATTGTTTATAAAGTAGGGCAACAAGTGTTGGTAACTAATTTGCATTTACTTATGTCTGAACGTGACTTTGTTGAAACCAGACAAGTGTGTGAAATCAGTCTTCGCTTACAATTACGTAACTAGTCTATTTTCTTTATCTTGTCCTCTTATCAAAATATTATGTGGTATTCCATCAGATGTGTTTTAGTGATACAATGTTCTGTAATTTTAAGAATTTTCAATTCATATGCGAATAACTGAATTTAAAATGCAAAATCTATCTCTAAAATACGTATCACGTAATATTTCAATATAATCGATCGGGGTATGCTTTTAGATCCAGCATACAGAGTAAAAGTGGAGGCGCATTAATTCAAGTGCAACACGAAAAATGCATTACCGCCTCCATTCTCCAGCATTCGTCATTGTCCAACGTCTCGGTTGAAATTGTCCTTGCTTGGACAATTGGGTTGTACTAAAAATATTAAAGTGTTCTAAATTTGAATGGTTTTTTTTTAAAATATAAGCCAGCAAACAAGCGGCCACTAGATTCGGTTAAAATAGCAAAATGACCTTTGTATCAAGTTAGCATTTTCGTTGTCTATCTTTAACGAATAGAAGAGGGGAAAATAAATAGGATATGTGTGGAATTGAATCGTTGTTAGTTTTGTTGTTGTTTGCGATACCAAAAACTTTACTTTGCTGTCGTTTATCAATTAAGTCTTTTCGATTTGATTTACAAAGATGTTATTTGCTATCTGAAGTTTACCTAATTTATTTGAAATCAAAAAAATTATAAAAAAAAACATGTCGACGAATTGAGTACCTTCTTTGAGAAGTCGGTCAAATGTAGGAATAATATTATCTATTGGAGACAGTCATAGAGTATTTGAGTCGCAGAAGGAAAATGTTGAGGAAAGGTATAGGTAACATATTATTAAAAAAAATATATAATTTAGGGAGTTAAAGTGGAATTTTCTTTTAATAGTTTATTAATCAGCTTTTTATTTTTATACATTTATTGTCAAAGTCAACATAACAAGTTTCTTAGCACAAGATTTAAAGTCATTATTCAAATTATTATTTTTTATTTAATAGATAAACGGTTACATTGTTTATTCTAGGACTTATTATCGGTAAATTTTAAACGGTTAATTAATGACTTAAGATTAACAATTTGTTTAGAACATTTTTTAGGCAGTCCCTTCCATATGACGCTTATGTTTGTAGATATTGTATATTTACATAGAAATCATACCTTTTGTTGTTTGTGCATAACTGTTTAACATAGCATACGAGTTTTAAATTGAGAATGTTTCTTAAATTGTAGTTAAAAATATTTAAATAAGTAATGTTCAAGTCATAAAATCAAAAAACAATAATAAAATTACAATAAGAACGCGCGAACACATTGGATTAAATTATCGCATGACTGATTAATCGCGCCTTGATTCTTACGATATCATATGAAGGTACGCACACTACTCGAATTTTAGTTGTGCAACTAAACTGTTGAATCGGCTGCAACAGTTGTGCGATATTTATTCAAAGGTGTGTGTCCGTTCTAAAAAAAAAATTGAACAACGATTGACTAAAGTTCAGTTGTTTATTGTTAGAGTTATAACAAGGCATAATGTATTCGGTCAGTTTTCTAAACTTAATAAAATGTATTCCACAAATAACGATTCTGCTCCGCATATGAGTGGAATGCAATGTGCCGCTGAACTGGGGCGTTAATTTAAAACTCTGCATCCGAAATGTATTCGTGCAGATTTGTTGCCTTTTCAAAGTAAAATATTTCGTCGGTATATGAAAGCTATATTTTTTCTAGCGCCGAAAGTAGTTTTGATATTCTTTATTGTTAGTTCCAGGATGACATTAGAATACCAGTTTTATAAACAACACCGCGTTTTATTTTATTTTTAATTCTTATTCCCTTATATAGAGATTTTACTTTTGGGACGTTTTTTATCGATTTCATTACTTATTATCTTCCAGTTGTCTCCCAAACAAAATTAGCCTTAACATCAATAACAATTCAATTAAAATTCGAAAGTCACTTGCTACATTAATTAATATAAAATTATTTATTTACAAATATCTAAAAGTTATTATAGAGTAAGTAACCACAGAGAGTACATTTCAAAATATCTAATTGGTAAGGTATCGTAGAGTAGGTATTAACAGAGCGTACAGCTGCGGTGTGAGATGTCTTGTGAAGGAATACGGTCTTGCGTGCGATGTGGCAGGCGATATGGCGGGGTGGCCGCGTTGCCACGCCGCGCCGGACACCATTGGCTCCTCCGCATACCCGTTCATACTTAATTCTAATCCTGTAAATAATTTAATATTAAGGTATTCTATATGAATGATTATAAACTAGTATACGTTGAAACTTTCTATAGAAGCTCAGTTTTAACTGAACAGTTCGAATGTACAGTTTGAGCGTATAAAGCAGATCTCAGAGTTATTCAAAAATTTATCATTTTTATTATTTGTATGAAAATTGATTTTATTTATTTGGACAAATAACAACTTTTATAGGTCTGTACTCATTCTTAGTTGATAACAATTCGCTTTGCTGCTGTAATGAATGTTACAAAAATGATAAATTATAAAAACCAAATGAAAAAAGTGTTATAATACAAACTTGATTGAACAAAAATCAAAAAAACATAATAAAAAATGAAATATAGAACAAACTTAAAATTATTACTTACTATGCAGGCTGACTTGACTCTCCATCTTTCCTAAGGCATTGACAGAAGCACAGATATACGTTCCATAATCTTTAGGAGCGAGAGACTTTATAGTTAAATTCATCCACTGTGAATATTCATTCACTATAGTCTCCGCAATACGGAGTTTTGGATTCTCAAACAACTTGTCACTAACTAAAGCTGGAAACACTTTGAAAATTAACAACTTACATTAAATATATGAAAATTATTAACAGCATATGAACTTACCATCTTCCCGATACCAGGAGTTCATAGCTTTGGGTGAAGCTTCAATATAGCACTGCAGTTCAACATCACTACCGATTGGTGCTCCAACCAATTGATTTGTCACTTTCACTTGCGGTATAACTGTAATAAAGAAAAAATTAAACCAACTGCTTCACTTGGCTCAGTATAGTTAGTACATTTTTTTATAACAAAAGGTGGCAAACGAGCAAGCGGCCACCTGAATCCGCCAAAATAGCGAAGCGAGCGCTGCCCATAGACATCCGCAATTGCAGATGCGTTGCCTACCCTTATCCGACAAAGGAGATGCACTTAAAGAGGATAATTCTTCTTCCTATGTATCTCCTCCTCTGTCAAATCCACTTTCCTTCCCATCCTCTCCTTATAAGAAAAGGGTGGTAAAGAGAAAGGGACTTAAATTAGGCCTCCAGCACTTTCACTCCACACTCATCAGACGAAACACGGAATTGCTTCCATTTAACGGCTGTCTTCTGTGTGGTCATGGTATTACACCGGGCGTGCCGGCTCATTCGTGTTATGTTAAAGCGGGCACTACCACTTTTAAAAAATCATCTTGTAGTTGTTACATCTTGTTTTGATTTTATCGCCACTGCATCGCTAGTTATGTACAACAATGCTAATACAGCGATATAGCTTAACAAATAACAATAATAAGTAGTGACTTACAATGCACTTGCACGTGATACCGGCGACTGACGGTGGGCGGCACGCCATTGCTCGCTATGCAGTAGTACGCGCCCATGTCTGCGCGCTGCACGTGCCACAGTTCCAGACTCTCGCCTTTGTGACTATCCACGACTAGAACAAAGGAATACAAGAATATTCATGCTTTTATTTAAACTGGTAACTGCGGGCTGTTAAGGAAGATAATATTTGTCTTCAGTCATTTTACATTTATTGCAAAGTTGCCAGTTTTAATTTAATTTTGTATTAAGAACAGTTTTAGGGCAAATTTGTCTTGTTGACATTCTTTATTTGCGTAATAGATATTTTAAAAACAAGATTTCTTGATCTAATATTGTCTAATACTAAAACATAAAACAATTTAGACATTAAAACTTTGTAAAAGGTAATAAAAACAAGATGAAATATACTTAAAAAAATTGTAAGCCACTTGATAAATAAATCGAAAGCTATAAAAGAGATTATAGCAAACAGGTTTAGTTTTCAATGAGTTAACTGCATCTAAGTAATGCTGGCCAGGATGAGAATAAATTCACTTTATCGTAACACACAGGCGGATTACTGAACACCAGTCCTGACTGTGATATCTGACTCAAATTTTATGTCATAAAACGTTGAACGGCTGGCCAGTTTTAATCACTGTAGGATTTATCACACGAACAATGTAACACCAGAAAGTGGCTGCAGATGCACAAAGGTTTACTTTTAAAGTTTTCACATCAAGATAATTCTTAATTCGTTAAATGTTACACCAATATATATTATTTTTGTTACGTAATTATTCTAATTTAGTACAATTCTGGAATCTTCTATAACTTTACATATTTAAATAGTTACTCGTGTATAGTAAGCCTAAACTACGGATAATTAAAAATTTACCAGTTGCAGTAGATTCATCTATTATCGGGAAATAGAAAATGGTATAAGTATTTTGGACTTTATTTTAAATAAAAACCATGTATCATTTTGTGAAGTAACAACGATATTTGAATAAGTTTATTTGGATAAACGTATTTGTTCGAAGTACGTATTCAAAAAAGTCCCCACGACAGTAAAATCACATTTAGACACAAATAAAATACGATTTCGGTCCTAACCGGTGGATTTAAAAAAAATCATTTTTACCTTCGCTTTGCCGCGAAACCACGTGACAAAAATAAAACTGTTCGGAATATTTTATGTGGTAAATGGAGCCTTTAATATTCGAGGTCTGTCAACACGAGGGAATGCACTTAAAAGTGTATCATCGGTAATTTGTACGCAAACCGGAGTTTATTTATATTTAAAAAAGCCCTATAGTCGTTTAAATTTATAGGCTTTATTTTAGGTGACTGTGGAAAGTTTTTTTATTCAATAAATATTCGTTTAAGTTGTTGGTAAGGTTTAAATATCTTAAAATACATAAGGGATATAGTTTTCTAAAAGATATATTTGTTTAACTATTACATTAGTTATGTTTAAAGAATGGTAACACTAAATAATACATTTTCTTAAAACATAGTTCATTTGTTTTTCTTGATGTTTATTTAACTTGAAACATAGTTTTTTGTGTTGAATTGTAAAGAATTCTGAAGCGATTGTTGAATGCTGTTCAGCTGGACTTGTACTAAGTTGATCATTGTTTTAAATGAAACATTCCGTACTGTAGCGTAAAAAGAGAACTCGTTAAAAAAAGGGAAAAGTGTACATGAAGAGAATGGCTTTGGGCCGTGTCGCTCGTTTGAACAGCCGCTGCGCTTAAGTGATCGGAGCTTTATTTTGTATGTGACGTTATTCTAAGTTAATTTCTTTAGGATTTTTAGCTTAAAGTTTATTTAAATATTTTACATTTTATTCTTTTTGTAACTAATATACGAATAAAGTCACTGCTGTTTTTCGGGTCAAGGTTGCATGACAATTCTTTTGTATCTTGTAGGCTGATTCGACTATGATGAGTGGAGTGTCATTTAATGTCATATAATCTTTCACAAAGTGTCATACTTTCTACAGTCAAGTAGTCTAATCCATCATCATCATCATCATCTCCTTATCCTATTCCCGTAGGACATTGGACATATCCATAGGACATTGTCGCGCCAGATTTTCTTCTGTCCATTTCTTTCTAGGTCTACCTCTACCAATGTACCCTTCCACACTCAAAAATAGTCTTATTGTTATTTTTAAATCAACAACGCGTTTAAGAAATTAATATTTTATTAAACATCTGTCGGAGTAGCAAATGGAGTTAAATGACAAATTCAATTAAGGCATTCAACACACGATTTGAGCAATGAATAGTGTTAAAAGCCGTCCCACAGTGATATACTGTCGCACTTTAGAAGGGATCTAGTTGTTAAATGTAATAAATGTAACAGTAACAGATGGATTAACGGCAAAAAAGTGCGAGATTTCACGCCCCATTAACATTCGAAATGAACGATATTTTGAAATCGCTTCTGAGTATAAAATCTTTTTTTTATTATTCGGGCTACGGTTCATTTAATGTAGTACTAAGTGAATTTGTCGAAGGTCTTTATTTTATGGATTGAGGAGCGATGACTTGAATTATTTTTTGTGAAAAAGAAGACAACGGACACAATTATTACAATACTAGCTTTCGCTCACGATTCCGTCCGCGTGGTATAAAAAAAACAAAAGTGAGTAGCCTATCTGTTATTCTAGACTATGCTCTACGTCTGTGCCAAATTTTATCGAGATTCGTTCAACCGAATAGGCTACAAACTCGAACAAACATCCATCCATCCATCTAAACTTTGCATTTATAATATTAGTATGAAAATTATAATTACTAAACTAATGATAAAAGGCAGCATAAAATAATCATCGGAAAATAACACGAGTAAATTTGCTAAATACTTAGTGCTAAAAATAAATTCTTAAAGCATAACACATTCTTTAATGCCTTCCTTTCTTAAAATCTGTCATATGTTTTTTTTTAGAAAATGTGTTAGTTTATGAACCGACCCTATGCTCAATTTTACATAGTCCCTGTGAGACTAGTATCAAGGGACTCGTAATTTATTTACGCCGGAATTTCCAGTATAATTTTTGCCCCAGCTGCGGTTTCCCGCTCTAATATTTCGCATTTCGTTTCAACAGTGACTAATTTATACTGTCCAATTGCTGTCTCATTAAATTTAACGCTCAGTTTGTTAATATTTACTTTTGCTTTACAAAGCTCTTAATTACTACGTCGGCTCGGTGGCGAGTCGGGAATATACCAATTTAGTTTGCGGGCCAACTGAAAAGGTTTTAATCAAAAAGGTTCTTTATAAATTAACCTTAAAAGGAACATGTTTCTGATAATTTGTGCTTTTCCCACCGTAATTAATATAAGATATCAAATTCAAACTCAAAGTTGTTCGAAATCATACTAATATTATAAAGAGGAACACTTTGTTAGTTTGATTGTAAATAAGTAACTCAAAAATTACTATGCCAATTTCAAAAATTCTTTCACCATGAAAAAGCTACGTTGTCGGTAACATAGGCTATGTTTTATATTATTTTTAATTTCACTCAGATGGAGTCGCGGGAGAAAGCTAGTATTTAATAATATAGTGCTTAAATGTTATGTCTTTTTTTCACAATTACTTGAATGAAATACGATACAAAATAAATTAAATTTGGATTTTTAATGGTCTAAATGGAATTTTTATTCAGGGTAGGGTACAATTTAACTCACTTAAGCATTCAATTTTAATTCGATATGGCGAGTATTTTTAAACGAATCAATCTTATTGAATGTGAATACAGATATCGTATGAAAAATTGTGCGTAAATCTCAAAAAGTGTAGACTAAGAGTTATACCATTTATTGTAATAGCTTTTTATTATAAGGAATTTAATCTTTATTCCTGTTACCGGCTTCTACTTAAACCAAAGCAGAATACTTCTTCAAGTCATTTACTTTTACTGAAGTTCAAACAAGACGTAATTATAGCAGCTTCCTGTTGGTACAACAATTCAAAATGTTTGATTTAAGTTCAAAGAAATGATTATTTCAAAGATCGTAAAATAATTAATATAAACTAGGTCAATACGCTTATTGAATGTTATGGGAAACAAAGTTTATAATATTCTAAGATTATATTACGAAAGGATTAAAATTATAGGCCTTGGTCAGCATTTTATTCAGCACATAATTATCAATATATTTTCTCAGAGAAAACCATTAGACACAGAAATAACGATTTTACAAAAATAACTTGTTATTTTTTTACAAATTAAGTAATTATTTAAACTAGGATTTCAAGAATAAATCAACACATTTTTTGACAAAAAATTTTGCTACTAAATATAGAAAAGAAATTTTATGTTGTCTCGATTTAAATCATACTGAAAAAAAAATTTCTGAGGGTAACAAACTTTTCGCATAAGTGTAGGGCAAATGAATGTTCAGCGTAAATGTACCTTACATTTACGATGTTCCAGATTTATAAACTGACAAGCTGACAAGACGCCAAGCGACGTACATTGAAAAACATATTCGGTGCTCTGATGTAACATATTTTAAAGGAAACGTAATTTTTCACTGCAGATGTCGACAGAGAGACGTAGACTGAAATAAATTACATAAATAAATGATTAAAGGAATACAATCGTAATCAGGTAGTTTGATTTGTAACTTGTAATTTGTCAAAGAACAGATTAAACCTTCAAAGGGTATACCAACTTAAAAAGTAAAATAAACACACGTCCTCTATGTGTTACTAAATATTAATCTTATTGCTAAAGACTTGTAACACACTTTTAAATAAAAAAAAAATTACAGCAAAGCAGTCAAAATGACATGACATGATGACAAGCCATGGCAACCTTGTTTGTTTAATGTTGGCAGCTTGTAGTTTATGGTCCCTTCCTCACATGAAGGTTTCTTTCTAATTCATTTATTTTCCAAGTTTAATAGCGTAAAAATATATAGCCTAAAGCGTGTCGTAAGTGTAGGGCTTTTTACTAAAGAGATAATTATTCAAAAATATGCTGTGATTGTCGACATCATACGCCACAAAGTAGTGTGTACTTACAATTTATTATATTAGTATAGAGTATAGAGTAAAGAGTGCAGAGTACAGAGTACAGAGTACAGAGTACAGAGTACAGAGTACAGAGTA